GTTAATGTAGCTTAAAACCAAAGCAAAGCATTGAAAATGCTTAGATGAGTCCACAAACTCCATAAACACACAGGTTTGGTCCCAGCCTTTTTATTAATTTTCAATAGGATTACACATGCAAGTATCCGCCCCCCAGTGAAGATGCCCTTCAAGTTATCACAGTACCTGAAGGAGCTGGCATCAAGCACGCCAATAAACGCAGCTAACGACGCCTTGCAGAGCCACACCCCCACGGGAAACAGCAGTGATAAAAATTAGGCTATAAACGAAAGTTCGACCTAGCCATATTGCATTGGGTTGGTAAATCTCGTGCCAGCCACCGCGGTCATACGATTAACCCTAGCTAATAAAAAACCGGCGTAAAGCGTGCTAAGATAAATCCAATCCAAATAAAGTTAAGCCCTGACCAGGCCGTAAAAAGCCGTGGTTACCGTAAAAATAAACTACGAAAGTAACTTTAATTCACATCGACACACGATAGCTAAGACCCAAACTGGGATTAGATACCCCACTATGCTTAGCCCTAAACCTAAATAATTCACCAGACAAAATTATTCGCCAGAGAACTACTGGCAACAGCCTAAAACTCAAAGGACTTGGCGGTGCTTTACATCCCCCTAGAGGAGCCTGTTCTGTAATCGATAAACCCCGATAAACCCTACCAATTCTAGCTAATACAGCCTATATACCGCCATCTCCAGCAAACCCTAAAAAGGAAGCACAGTAAGCAAGACTATGAAAACATAAATACGTTAGGTCAAGGTGTAGCCCATGAATTGGGAAGAAATGGGCTACATTTTCTAAAATAGAACACAAACGAACGCCCTAATGAAAACGAGGGCCAAAGGAGGATTTAGCAGTAAGCTGAGAATAGAAAGCTCAACTGAACCCGGCCCTAAAGCACGCACACACCGCCCGTCACCCTCTTCAAATCCCCAAGAATACCTAAACATATTAGACAAACACCAAGGCATGAGAAGAGACAAGTCGTAACAAGGTAAGCATACTGGAAGGTGTGCTTGGATCACCAAAGTGTAGCTTAAACAAAGCATCTGGCCTACACCCAGAAGATCTCAATAACATGACCACTTTGAACAAATCCTAGCCCAACCAACACCCAACATACAACCAAACAGAGCACATAAACCAAAGCATTTACTAGACTAAAGTATAGGCGATAGAAATTACACAACGGCGCTATAGAAAAAGTACCGCAAGGGAAAGATGAAAGATGCATTCAAAGTACAAAAAAGCAAAGATTACCCCTTGTACCTTTTGCATAATGGACTAACTAGAAACACCCTAGCAAAGAGAACTTAAGCTAGAAACCCCGAAACCAGACGAGCTACCTACGAGCAGTTTAAAGAACCCACTCATCTATGTGGCAAAATAGTGAGAAGACTTGTAGGTAGAGGTGAAAAGCCTAACGAGCCTGGTGATAGCTGGTTGTCCAAGAAATGAATCTAAGTTCAACTTGAAGCATACCCAAAAGCCCAAAAACTATAATGTAGGCTTCAAGTATAGTCTAAAAAGGTACAGCTTTTTAGAAACAGAATTAAATCTTAATTAGTGAGTAAACAATACAACAACCATAGTTGGCCTAAAAGCAGCCATCAATTAAGAAAGCGTCAAAGCTCAACAATAAGACATAAATAATACCACAAATAAAAATCAACTCCTAAACCAATATTGGACCAATCTATCAATAAATAGAAGAAATACTGTTAGTATGAGTAACAAGAAATAGATCTCCTTGCACAAGCTTATATCAGAACGGATGACCCACTGATAATTAACAACGAAACAAATCAAACCCAAAAATAGAACTTTGTTAAATAGATTGTTAACCCAACACAGGCGTGCATATTCTCAAAGGAAAGGTTAAAACAAATGAAAGGAACTCGGCAAACACAAGCCCCGCCTGTTTACCAAAAACATCACCTCTAGCATAACCAGTATTAGAGGCACTGCCTGCCCAGTGACTCGCGTTAAACGGCCGCGGTATTCTGACCGTGCAAAGGTAGCATAATCACTTGTTCTCTAAATAAGGACTAGTATGAACGGCTAGACGAGGGTTTTACTGTCTCTCATCTGTAACCAGTGAAATTGACCTCCCCGTGAAGAGGCGGGAATAATATAATAAGACGAGAAGACCCTATGGAGCTTTAATTAAACAGCTTAAAATTAACCCAACACCACTCTAACAGAGATATAACAAACCAATTAGCCTAAGCTGTCAATTTTGGTTGGGGTGACCTCGGAGCAAAAAACAACCTACGAGCGGTCAAATCCAGACTAACAAGTCCAGATAATCCGTTAATTGATCCAACAACTTGATCAACGGAACAAGTTACCCTAGGGATAACAGCGCAATCCTATTCGAGAGTCCATATCGACAATAGGGTTTACGACCTCGATGTTGGATCAGGACATCCCAATGGTGCAGAAGCTATTAATGGTTCGTTTGTTCAACGATTAAAGTCCTACGTGATCTGAGTTCAGACCGGAGTAATCCAGGTCGGTTTCTATCTATTAATACACTTCTCCCAGTACGAAAGGACAAGAGAAGTAGGGCCTACCTCACACAGGCGCCCTCGAATCAATAAATGACTACCCTCTTAATTTAGCCAATTCACAACAACCCCCAGTCCTAGAACCAGGGCCAGCTAGGGTAGCAAAGCACGGCAACTGCACAAGACTTAAGCTCTTGTAACAGAGGTTCAACTCCCCTCCCTAGCAGCAATGTACACAATCAACATAATAATAATGATCATCCCCATCCTACTAGCCGTGGCATTCCTAACGCTAGTAGAACGCAAAGTGCTAGGATACATGCAACTACGAAAGGGCCCAAACATCGTGGGCCCTTGAGGCCTGCTACAACCAATCGCCGACGCAGTAAAACTATTCACTAAAGAACCCCTACGACCCCTAACATCCTCAATCACAATATTCATCATGGCACCTATCCTAGCACTGACACTCGCACTCACCATGTGAGTACCACTACCAATGCCACACCCACTAGTCAACATAAACCTAGGAGTGCTATTCATACTGGCCATATCAAGCCTCGCCGTATACTCCATCTTATGATCAGGATGAGCCTCAAACTCCAAATACGCCCTCATTGGAGCACTACGTGCAGTGGCCCAAACCATCTCATACGAAGTGACACTAGCAATTATCCTGCTGTCCTTACTGTTAATAAGCGGGTCCTTCACCCTCTCCACCCTAATCACAACCCAAGAAAAGCTATGATTACTAGTGCCCGCATGACCCCTGGCCATAATATGATTCATCTCGACCCTAGCCGAGACAAATCGAGCACCCTTCGACCTAACAGAAGGAGAATCTGAACTCGTATCCGGCTTTAACGTTGAATACGCAGCAGGCCCATTCGCACTCTTCTTCCTTGCCGAATACGCAAACATCATCATAATAAACATCTTGTCAGTGACACTCTTCATAGGAGCCTTTCACGACCCCCACACCCCAAGCCTCTACACAGTTAATTTTGTAGTAAAAACACTCGCCCTTACCGCCCTATTCCTATGAATCCGAGCATCCTACCCACGATTCCGCTACGACCAACTAATGCACCTACTATGAAAAAACTTCCTACCACTAACCCTAGCACTGTGCATGTGACACGTATCAATACCAATCGCCCTGTCAAGCATTCCCCCACAATCATAAGAAATATGTCTGACAAAAGAATTACTTTGATAGAGTAAATAATAGAGGTTTAAATCCCCTTATTTCTAGAAAAACAGGCATTGAACCTGCACCTGAGAACTCAAAAATCTCCGTGCTACCAACTTACACCACAATCTACAGTAAGGTCAGCTAAGCAAGCTATCGGGCCCATACCCCGAAAATGTTGGATCACAACCTTCCCGTACTAATAAACCTCACTATACTAGCCATCCTAACAACCCTATTCCTAGGGACCATGCTCGTCCTAATCAGCTCTCACTGACTAATGATTTGAATTGGATTCGAGATAAACATACTAGCAATAGTCCCTATCCTAATGAAAAACTTTAGCCCACGAGCCATAGAAGCAGCCACAAAATACTTCCTAATCCAAGCCACCGCGTCCATACTACTAATGCTAGCCATTACCCTAGACCTGATATCTTCTGGACAATGAACCATCACAAAAACACACAACACCCTACCATCAGCCATCATCACCGTAGCTATGGCCATAAAACTAGGAATAGCACCATTCCACTTCTGAGTGCCAGAAGTAACACAAGGAAGCCCACTATCATCAGGCATGCTACTCCTAACCTGACAAAAAGTCGCACCAATATCAATCCTATACCAAATAATACCCACAATCAACACAAATATACTGACAACCATAGCCGCACTCTCAATCCTCATCGGCGGTTGAGGAGGGCTAAACCAGACCCAACTACGAAAAATCATAGCATACTCCTCAATCGCCCACATAGGCTGAATAGCAATAATCATAACATACAACCCGGACATTGCCATTCTAAACCTACTAGTCTACATCATAATGACACTATCTATATTCGCAATCCTACTATACAACTCATCAACAACAACCCTATCACTATCCCACCTATCAAACAAGACACCACTAATCACAGCCCTCGCACTACTAATCCTACTATCACTAGGAGGCCTCCCCCCACTGACCGGATTCATGCCCAAATGAATAATCATCCAAGAACTAACCAAAAACAACATAGTAATAATACCAACCGTGATAGCAATAACAGCACTACTCAACCTATACTTCTACGTACGCCTGGCGTACTCCACAGCACTAACCATACTCCCAACCACCAACAACATAAAAATAAAATGACAATTCGAAACAACAAAAATCATAAAACTAACCCCACCTCTAATCATTTTATCCACAATAGCACTCCCACTCACCCCTATAATATCAATCCTAAACTAGGGACTTAGGCTACACAGACCGAGAGCCTTCAAAGCTCTAAGCAAATACAAACTATTTAGTCCCTGATATAAAGACTGTAGAAATTCAACCTACATCACCTAAACGCAAATCAGGCGCTTTAATTAAGCTAAATCCTCACTAGATTGGTGGGATACAAACCCACGAAACTTTAGTTAACAGCTAAACACCCTAATCAACTGGCTTCAATCTACTTCTCCCGCCATAAAGAAGAAAGTGGCGGGAGAAGTCCGGGCAGAATTGAAGCTGCTTCTTTGAATTTGCAATTCAATGTGTAAACACCTCAGGACCTGGCAAGAAGAGGACTCCAACCTCTGTGTTCAGATTTACAGTCTAATGCTTACTCGGCCATCTTACCTATGTTCACCAACCGCTGGCTCTTTTCAACAAATCACAAAGACATTGGCACACTATATCTCTTATTTGGCGCCTGGGCCGGAATAGTAGGCACCGCACTAAGTCTTCTAATTCGCGCTGAGCTAGGTCAGCCTGGGACCCTCTTAGGGGACGACCAAATTTACAATGTGATCGTTACCGCACATGCATTTGTAATAATCTTCTTCATAGTCATGCCAATCATAATCGGAGGCTTTGGAAACTGACTAGTACCCCTGATAATTGGAGCCCCTGACATGGCATTCCCCCGTATAAACAACATAAGTTTCTGACTGCTCCCCCCCTCTTTCCTACTTCTTCTGGCCTCTTCCATAGTCGAAGCAGGGGCTGGAACCGGCTGAACTGTATACCCCCCTTTAGCAGGAAATTTAGCACACGCAGGAGCATCTGTAGACCTAACCATCTTCTCTCTTCATCTAGCGGGTGTCTCATCAATCCTTGGGGCTATCAATTTTATTACAACAATCATCAACATAAAACCCCCTGCAATAAACCAATACCAAACCCCACTATTCGTGTGATCAGTCCTAATTACGGCCGTGCTTCTGCTACTATCTCTACCCGTACTAGCTGCTGGCATTACCATACTGTTAACCGACCGTAATCTAAATACAACCTTTTTTGACCCCGCAGGAGGAGGGGACCCCATTCTATACCAACACCTATTCTGATTCTTCGGACACCCCGAAGTGTACATTCTCATCCTTCCTGGATTTGGAATAATCTCCCACATCGTAACCTATTACTCCGGGAAAAAAGAGCCCTTTGGATACATGGGCATAGTCTGAGCAATAATATCCATTGGCTTCCTGGGCTTCATTGTATGGGCACACCACATGTTCACAGTGGGAATAGACGTTGATACACGGGCCTACTTCACATCAGCCACCATAATTATTGCTATCCCCACWGGAGTAAAGGTGTTTAGTTGACTAGCAACCCTGCACGGAGGAAACGTAAAATGGGCCCCAGCTATACTATGGGCCCTGGGCTTTATCTTCCTGTTTACAGTCGGGGGTCTAACTGGCATCGTGCTGGCCAACTCGTCCCTAGATATCGTCCTCCATGATACCTACTACGTAGTAGCCCACTTCCACTACGTTCTCTCCATGGGAGCAGTTTTCGCCATCATAGGAGGCTTCGTCCATTGATTCCCCCTGTTCTCAGGATACACGCTCAACAACACATGGGCAAAAGTTCACTTTACAATCATATTCGTGGGCGTAAACATGACCTTTTTCCCCCAACACTTCCTTGGGCTGTCTGGAATACCTCGACGATACTCGGACTACCCAGACGCTTACACAATGTGAAACACTGTGTCCTCCATAGGATCCTTCATCTCATTAACCGCCGTAATACTCATGGCCTTCATAATCTGAGAGGCATTCGCCTCTAAACGGGAAGTCCTAATAGTGGAGTCTACAAATACCAACCTCGAATGACTACACGGCTGCCCACCACCCTACCACACATTCGAAGAACCTGCTTTCGTAAATCTGGTCAAAACAAGAGAGGAAGGAATCGAACCCTCAAACAATGGTTTCAAGCCAATATCATAGCCCCTATGTCTCTCTCAATCACAGAAGTATTAGTAAAATTTACATAACTTTGTCAAAGTTAAATTATAGGTTCAAGCCCTTTATACTTCCATGGCGTACCCGCTCCAATTAGGCTTTCAAGATGCCACGTCCCCAATCATAGAAGAATTACTCCACTTCCACGATCACACACTAATAATCGTGTTCTTGATCAGCTCCCTAGTACTATACATTATCTCTCTCATACTAACAACCAAACTCACCCACACAAGTACAATAGACGCTCAAGAAGTAGAAACCATTTGAACCATCCTCCCCGCAGTTATCCTAATCCTAATCGCCCTGCCCTCCCTACGCATCCTCTACATAATGGACGAGATTAACAACCCCGCCCTGACAGTAAAAACAATGGGCCATCAATGATACTGAAGCTACGAATACACAGACTACGAAGACCTAAGCTTCGACTCATACATAATCCCAACTCAAGACCTAAAACCCGGCGAACTCCGACTTCTAGAAGTGGACAACCGACTTGTACTACCCATAGACACAACCATCCGCATGCTCATCTCATCTGAAGACGTCCTGCACTCTTGAGCCGTCCCATCCCTGGGCCTAAAAACAGATGCTATCCCGGGGCGTCTAAACCAAACAACCCTGATATCAACCCGGCCCGGCCTATTCTACGGACAGTGCTCAGAAATCTGTGGCTCAAATCACAGCTTCATGCCAATTGTCCTCGAACTAGTACCCCTAAAAACATTTGAAAACTGAACTACGTCCCTACTGTAATTCATTGAGAAGCTAATAGCGCTAGCCTTTTAAGTTAGAGATTGAGAGCACGCCTCTCCTCAATGACATGCCTCAACTAGACACTACAACATGATCCATTACAATTATATCCATGATCCTGACCCTCTTTGTCCTATTCCAATTAAAAATCTCTAAACACTACTACCCACACGACGCAGAGACCTCAACAAAAACACACCACAAAACACTCACCCCCTGAGAAAAAAAATGAACGAAAATCTATTCACCTCTTTCATTACCCCAGTGATAATAGGGATCCCTATTGTAACAATTATCATTATGTTCCCAGTAATCCTCTTCCCAACATCAAACCGACTAATCAACAACCGCATTGTATCCATACAACAATGACTCCTAAAACAAACATCCAAACAAATAATAAGCATCCACAACTACAAAGGACAGACCTGAACCCTGATATTAATAACACTAATCATTTTCATCGCATCTACTAACCTACTAGGCCTGCTACCCCACTCATTCACCCCCACAGCCCAACTGTCAATAAACCTGAGCATAGCCGTTCCTCTATGGGCAGCCACCGTAGTCACAGGTTTTCGACACAATACAAAAACATCTTTAGCCCACTTCCTACCCCAGGGAACACCAACCCCCCTTATCCCAGTGCTAGTGATCATTGAAACAATCAGCCTGCTAATCCAACCCATAGCGCTCGCAGTACGACTGACAGCCAACATCACCGCCGGCCACCTGTTAATACACCTAATCGGAAGCGCAACCCTTGCCCTAATATCAATCAACCTCACCGTGGCCACAACTACCTTCATCGTCCTAGTCCTGCTTACAATCCTTGAATTCGCAGTCGCACTCATTCAGGCCTACGTCTTCACCCTTCTAATCAGCCTCTACTTACATGATAACACATAATGACCCACCAAACCCACTCATACCACATAGTAAACCCAAGCCCTTGACCCCTAACCGGGGCCCTATCTGCCCTCCTAATAACATCGGGCCTAGCAATATGATTCCACTTCAACTCTACAACACTACTCCTCCTAGGACTAACAACAAACCTCTTAACAATATATCAATGATGACGTGACATTGTACGAGAAAGCACCTTTCAAGGCCACCACACACCCACAGTCCAAAAAGGACTACGATACGGCATAATCCTGTTCATTGTCTCAGAAGTATTTTTCTTCGCTGGCTTCTTCTGAGCATTCTACCACTCAAGCCTAGCACCTACCCCCGAACTAGGAGGATGCTGACCCCCCACAGGCATCAACCCGCTAAACCCGCTGGAAGTACCTCTACTCAACACATCCGTTCTTTTAGCCTCAGGAGTATCAATTACATGGGCACACCATAGCTTAATAGAAGGCAGCCGAAACCACATAATCCAGGCCCTGCTCATCACAATTCTCCTAGGCATTTACTTCACACTACTGCAGGTCTCAGAATATTACGAAGCACCCTTCACAATCTCCGACGGCGTGTACGGCTCTACCTTCTTTGTGGCAACTGGATTCCACGGCCTACACGTCATCATCGGCACCTCCTTCCTAACTGTGTGCCTACTACGACAACTAAAATACCACTTTACATCAAACCACCACTTCGGATTCGAAGCTGCCGCCTGATACTGACACTTCGTAGATGTAGTGTGACTGTTCCTGTATGTCTCCATTTACTGATGAGGTTCCTATTTTCTAAGTATGCACAGTACAGTTGACTTCCAATCAACAAGCTCTGGCCACAACCCAGAAGAGAATAATAAACCTACTCCTAGCAATAACAACAAACACCATACTAGCATGCCTGCTCATACTAATCGCCTTCTGACTCCCTCAATTAAACACGTACTCGGAAAAGATCACCCCCTACGAATGCGGATTCGACCCCATGGGATCGGCACGACTACCATTCTCCATAAAATTCTTCCTAATCGCCATCACGTTCCTACTATTCGACCTAGAAATCGCACTACTCCTGCCACTCCCCTGAGCATCACAAACAAACAACCTAGGCACCATAATCACCGTAGCCTTGGTCCTCATCCTACTGCTAGCAATTAGCCTGGCCTACGAATGAACACAAAAAGGCCTAGAATGAACTGAGTATGGTAGCTAGTTTACACAAAACAAATGATTTCGACTCATTAAACTATGACTTACTCATAGCTACCAAATGTCCCTAATTTACATTAACACAACACTGGCATTCACTATCTCCCTAATGGGGATATTAATGTACCGATCACACCTAATGTCCTCACTACTATGTCTAGAGGGCATAATACTCTCCCTATTCGTAATAATCACCATTACAATCCTAACTAACCACTTCACACTAGCCAACATAGCACCCATCATCCTCCTCGTACTAGCAGCATGCGAGGCTGCCCTAGGCCTCTCTCTACTAGTACTTGTATCTAACACATACGGCACGGACTACGTACAAAACCTAAACCTGCTACAATGCTAAAACTAATTGTCCCCACAGCCATACTAATTCCCCTAACATGACTATCGAACAAAAACATAGTGTGAATCAACGTAACATCACACAGCATGCTAATCAGCCTAACATCTCTAGGCATCTTGGGCCAGCATGACCACAACAACATAAGCCTCTCAGCCATCTTCTTCTCTGACCCCCTATCAGCACCCTTAATCGTATTAACAACATGACTCCTCCCCCTAATACTAACAGCCAGCCAAGCCCACCTCTCCAATGAGCCCCTGGGCCTAAAAAAACTATACATTACCATACTAATCACCCTCCAAGCACTACTAATCATAACATTCGCCTCCTCTGAGTTCATTATATTCTACATCCTGTTTGAAGCAACACTCGTACCAACCCTAATCATCATCACACGATGAGGAAACCAAGCAGAGCGACTAAACGCAGGGTCCTACTTCCTCTTCTACACAATAGTAGGGTCACTCCCCCTTCTAGTAGTACTCACATACACCCAAAACATAACAGGAACCCTAAACATACTAGTACTACAATACTGAGCGAAACCCATAAACGACTCTTGATCCAACATGCTAATATGACTAGCATGCATAATAGCATTCATAGTAAAAATACCCCTATACGGACTACACCTCTGACTGCCAAAAGCCCACGTAGAGGCCCCCATTGCAGGCTCCATAGTACTTGCAGCCGTACTACTAAAACTAGGCGGATACGGCATAATACGCATCACTATCATGCTAGAACCAATAACAACATTCATAGCATACCCCTTCCTAATACTATCCCTGTGAGGAATAATCATAACAAGCTCCATCTGCCTTCGCCAAACCGACCTAAAATCACTAATCGCCTACTCCTCCGTAAGCCACATAGCACTGGTAATCGTCGCAATCCTAATCCAAACCCCATGAAGCTACATGGGGGCCACCGCTCTCATAATCGCCCACGGTCTAACATCCTCCATACTATTTTGCCTAGCAAACACAAACTATGAGCGAACCCACAGCCGAACTATAATACTAGCACGAGGACTGCAAACCCTCCTACCCCTAATAGCTGCCTGATGACTCCTAGCAAGCCTAACCAACCTGGCCCTCCCCCCCAGCATCAACCTAATCGGAGAACTATTCGTAGTAGTATCAACATTCTCGTGGTCCAACACCACCATCATCCTTACTGGAACAAACATTATCATCACAGCCACCTACTCCCTATACATACTAATATCCACCCAACGTGGAAAATACACCCACCACATCAACAACATCTGCCCCTCCTTCACCCGAGAAAACGCTCTAATGGCACTCCACATACTGCCCCTACTAATGCTATCAACCAACCCCAAAATCATCCTAGGGTGCCTTTACTGTAAGTATAGTTTAATAAAACCTCAGATTGTGGATCTGACAATAGAAGACCACAACTTCTTACTTACCAAAAAAGCATGCAAGAACTGCTAATTCCTGCCCCCATGTATAAAAACATGGCTTTTTTAAACTTTTAGAGGATGACAGACACCCGTTGGTCTTAGGAACCAAAAGACTTGGTGCAACTCCAAGTAAAAGTAATTAACACCCTAACCTGCACCTCCCTTATAACACTAACAACACTAATCATACCAATCATAATCACCCCCACAAATGCCTACACAAGCAAAAACTACCCCCACCACGTAAAAAACATAGTCGCACTAGCCTTCGCCGTCAGCATAATCCCAGCAATAGCATTTATATACTCAAACGAAGAAATAACCATCTTCAACTGACACTGAACAACAATCCAAACAATAAAAATAACAATAAGCTTCAAACTAGACTATTTCTCCACAACATTCATACCAGTGGCCCTATTCGTCACATGGTCTATCATAGAATTCTCTCTATGATATATAAAATCAGACCCCCACATCAACCGATTCTTCAAGTACCTACTAATCTTCCTAATCACAATAATAATCCTAGTATCCGCCAACAACATATTCCAACTCTTCATCGGCTGAGAAGGAGTAGGAATCATATCTTTCCTCCTAATCGGCTGATGGCACGGACGAACAGATGCAAACACAGCAGCCATACAGGCCATCCTATACAACCGCATCGGAGACATTGGACTAATCCTGTCAATGGCATGATTCCTCACAAACCTAAACTCATGGGACCTCCAACAAATCCTCATGCTAAGCCCCGAGAACACAAACATCCCCCTAGCGGGCCTACTACTAGCAGCAACTGGAAAATCCGCACAATTTGGGCTACACCCATGACTCCCCTCAGCCATAGAAGGCCCAACCCCAGTATCAGCCCTACTCCACTCCAGCACAATAGTAGTCGCAGGGGTATTCCTACTAATCCGATTCCACCCCCTAATAGAAAACAACAAAACAATCCAAACAACAACCCTATGCCTAGGGGCCATTACAACCCTGTTCACAGCCATCTGTGCTCTCACCCAAAACGACATCAAAAAGATCGTGGCCTTCTCAACCTCAAGCCAACTAGGTCTAATAATAGTCACCATCGGAATCAACCAACCACACCTAGCCTTCATACACATCTGCACCCACGCCTTTTTCAAAGCCATACTATTCATGTGCTCCGGATCGATCATCCACAGCCTAAACGACGAACAAGACATCCGCAAAATAGGAGGACTTTTCCACGCCCTCCCCACTACCACCTCCGCTCTCATTATTGGCAGCCTAGCCCTAACAGGAACCCCATTCCTAACAGGCTTCTACTCTAAAGACCTAATCATCGAAACCGCTAACATATCCCACACAAACGCCTGAGCCCTGCTCATCACACTAGTAGCCACCTCCCTCACAGCCGCCTACAGCACACGAATCATCTTCTTCACACTATTAGGACAACCCCGATCCAACACCCTAATCAACATCAACGAAAACAACCCCTCACTAACAAACCCAATCAAACGCCTAATGCTAGGGAGCATCTTCGCCGGATTCCTACTATACAACAACATCCCCCCAACAACCATGCCCCAAACAACTATACCACAATACCTAAAATACACCGCCCTCGCCACTACAATCCTAGGCCTAATCATAGCCCTAGAACTGTGCAACCTGTCCCTAAACCTAAGCCACAAACCCCCCTCAAGTGCCTTCAAATTCTCAACCTTACTAGGCTACTTCCCCACAATCATTCACCGCTCAGGACCCCTCTGATCACTAACAACAAGCCAAAAACTAGCATCCCTTATTCTAGACCTAATCTGACTAGAAAATATCATACCAAAGTCAATCTCACACTTCCACATAAAAGCCTCCCTAATAACATCCAACCAAAAAGGCTCAATCAAACTATACTTCCTGTCCTTCGCAGTGACAATAGTCCTCGCTCTCCTCATATTCTATTCCCCCGAGTAACCTCCATAACAACAACAACACAAATAAACAAAGACCACCCGGTCATAATCACAAACCAAGCACCATGGCTATAAAGAGCAGCAACACCCGCAGCTTCCTCACTAAAAAAACTAGACCCCCCAACATCATAAGTCGCCCAATCACCAGGACCACCAAGATCAAAAACCACACTCAACCCCTCACCCTTCAACATATAAAGCACTAAAACCAACTCTATGACCACACCCAAAACAAAAGCACCGAGCACAACCACATTAGACACCCAAACTTCAGGATACTCCTCAATGGCTATGGCCGCCGTATAACCAAAAACAACCAACATCCCCCCAAGATAAATCAAAAAAACCATTAAACCCAAAAAAGACCCACCAAAATTAACTACAACCCCACAACCTGCACCGCCAGCTACAACCAGACTAAACCCCCCATAAATAGGAGAAGGCTTTGAAGAAAACCCTAAAAAACTAATCACAAAAATAACACTCAAAATAAACACAACATATGTCATTGTTCCCACATGGACTCAAACCATGACCTATGACACGAAAAATCATCGTTGTAATTAAACTACGGAAACCTAATGACAAACATCCGAAAAACACACCCCCTACTCAAAATCATCAACAACTCCTTTATTGATCTCCCCACCCCCTCTAACATCTCAGCATGATGAAACTTCGGATCACTACTAGGAATCTGCTTAGTCCTACAAATTCTCACAGGACTATTTCTAGCCATACACTACACAGCAGACACAGCAACCGCATTCTCATCAGTAACTCACATCTGCCGAGATGTAAACTACGGATGAATTATCCGATACATACACGCTAACGGAGCTTCCCTGTTCTTCATCTGCCTATTCGCACACATCGGACGAGGCATCTACTACGGATCCTTTGCCTACAAAGAGACATGAAACATCGGTATCCTGCTCCTATTTGCAGTAATAGCAACAGCCTTTATGGGATACGTCCTACCATGAGGACAAATGTCCTTCTGAGGTGCTACGGTAATTACAAACCTTTTATCCGCAATACCCTACATCGGGTCTAGCCTAGTAGAGTGAGTCTGAGGGGGATTCTCGGTAGACAAAGCAACTCTCACTCGATTCTTCGCTCTTCACTTCATCCTTCCCTTCGTAATTCTTGCCCTAGTACTAGTACACTTACTATTCTTACACGAAACCGGATCCAACAACCCAATAGGAATCGTATCCAACCCCGACGTAATCCCCTTCCACCCATACTACACAGCCAAGGACACCCTTGGCCTATTCATCATGCTCACAGCACTAATATCCTTAGCCCTATTCTTCCCCGACSTACTAGGAGACCCAGACAATTATACATCCGCAAACCCCCTAAACACACCACCCCACATCAAACCAGAATGGTACTTCCTATTCGCATACGCAATCCTACGCTCAATTCCCAACAAATTGGGAGGAGTACTAGCACTAATCCTATCCATCCTCGTACTAGCACTAATCCCACTACTACACACATCAAAACAACGAACTATAATGTTCCGACCCCTGAGCCAAACCATCTTCTGACTCCTGGTGGCCGACCTACTAGTTCTCACATGAATCGGAGGACAACCCGTGGAACACCCCTTCATCCTAATCGGACAAGTAGCCTCTATCCTTTATTTCACACTAATCCTAGCAGCAATGCCAATCGCAGGTATCATCGAAAACAATCTCATAAAATGAAGAGTCTTTGTAGTATATGTCAATACACTGGTCTTGTAAACCAGCAAAGGAATTAACCCTCCCCAAGACTCAGGAAGAAGACAAAAGCCCTACCATCAGCACCCAAAGCTGAAATTCTCAATAAACTACTTCCTGCAAACAATTAAAGTCCAACAAGCTTTATATAGTATATGCCATGTATAATCGTGCATTAATGGTTTGCCCCATGCATATAAGCAGGTACATTATATTATTATAGTACATAGGACATATTATGTATAATCGTGCATTATTGATCTAGTACATACATATAAGCAGGTACATTATATTATTATAGTACATAGGACATATTATGTATAATCGTGCATTATTGATCTAGTACATGCATATAAGCAGGTACATAATATCCTTAGAGTACATAGTACATATTATTATTGATCGGACATAGCACATCAAGTCAAATCATTTCCAGTCAACATGCGTATCCCTACCACTGAAGGCCGCCTAATCACCATGCCGCGTGAAATCATCAACCCGCTCATAGTCGTGTCCCTCTTCTCGCTCCGGGCCCATACGGACTGTGGGGTAGTTAAAGTGAAACTATACCTGGCATCTGGTTCTTACTTCATGTTCATCTTATATCTAGCCGCTCACTCGTTCCTCTTAAATAAGACATCTCGATGGATTAATTACTAATCAGCCCATGCCTAACATAACTGTGCTGTCATGCCTTTGGTATCTTTTAATTTTCGGGGTGCGAGGTTCAACTGGGTCACCGACCTTCGAGCAGGTTGATAACTTGTAGATAGACATTCATTGAATATTATTGGTCGTACATACTAACTCCTAGGTGTTATTCAGTCAATGGTTACAGGACATAGAGAATTTTACAACAAAATTTTGAGTTGAGCCTACAGAAATCATAGATCACAATCGCAGACACCAACAAATACTAAAGTAATTAATTTAAATTTATAATTTTAGGTTTGATATATCAAACCCCCCCTTACCCCCCCAAAGCCTCCACGTACTAAACATCTTGTCAAACCCCAAAAGCAAGAATACACACGTACACAAAGGCGCTATAAGCACAAAGTATTACGTAAGTATATAGATATACAAAACTACTAGCGCAGCTTTCTGTCCACTAGTTAAATACTTAGGTGCTTGAACATATATGGCTGGAAGGCCATGTAGTGACTACGTAATGATTCCTATTAGCCACAATAAAAACAATATACAATAAATACAAATATAGATCAATTCTTATAGGCGCCGATAGCATAAACTATCTGCCCCCTATGTACAATTGAATTAAA